TTTTCGCCCCCCGGGGGGCGAAATTCCTAGGAATATCGCCCCCCCCCCCAGGGGGCGAAAATCCTAGGAATTTCGCCCCCCTTTAGGAAATTCGCCCCCCTTTACAAACTTCGCCTTTTCCTTAGGATTTTCGTCCTCCGTTCAAAATTCCACCCTTCCTAACAGTTGCATGGGATAATTATTACATGGCGTTAATCATTTGAAATCAGTATCAATTCAAAATTGTTAATTAAGACAGAGCTTGAAATAACAACCGATCACCGATCAATGATCGGCAAGGAATTGTTTATGATCGGCGGAAAAGCGGTTTCCAACCTGAAAAAAGCAGGGAAAGTCACGACTGCCGATCACCATGATCGGGAACTTTGGGAATGTTATTTCAAGCCCTGCATGTAAGAATACAAATTTACAATTACATGTATCGAGAGGGCTTTACACAGTTACAGTAGATCAATACTAAATAGGACTAATACGACGCTTCACAGCACACCATGCATATTTTGCATTTTCAGTGTTAATCCTTAAACTCATTGTTAAAAAGTAATCACCGTGGTGGTTATTGTAATTATTGGTATTGTTTTGCATCCACGTTTTGTCGTTATCGGAAAATGTATGGTTTATAAGTTGTCACTATTTTTTACTTGCATTATTTCAATATAGTTTGTAAATCTCAGAAGCGAAGGGTAGAACTTGCCAATAGGCAATAATCCAATAATATACGTTTCAAAAAAGACAAAAAAGCTTTTAGTTTTGCAGAGTTACATTCTCAAATGTTTAAGGCACTAATAAGATCGAAGTATCATGAAATTATTTGAATAAACCACACCACATATATAATGCAATTTTCTTTTGCGGAAGTCAAGAATCAAGATTACATCACTGACACGGAAAGTTGACGATTCAACGGACAATAGTCAATACGCTTCCCAACACATTCCATAGATTTTTTATTAAACCTATAGTTTATTGTTAGCAAGTGATTACTGTGGCGGCTATTGTTAACACTAGTATTGATGAAATTTGCAAGCGATTGTTTTTATAATATGTATGTAAACTGCCAGAAGAATACGACAACATGATTTTATGCAATCTCTGTGATGGTTCCACTTTAGATGTGTAGAATATGACACTAGTCTAAGTATCTCAAATGAGTGGTTATGCAGACTGTGCACACCACCAGCTGCTAAGAAGCCTAAAATGTGTATGTAATTTTGTCTCCTTGTAATAAATAAATAAATCACACAATAAATGTTTTCAACTTGCAATCGTTTTGTTTTTAGATAAAAAATTCAAAATTTATATGGGGGGGCGATATTCCTAGGAGATTCGCCCCGGGGGGCAAATATCCTAGGAATATCGCCCCCCTTTTGACAGGGGGGGCGAATCTCCTGGGGGGGCGAATCTCCTGTGACACCGGCTGGAACTTTAAAAACTGGTTCCGGTGTACCCCTAATGTGATCATGTAATTTCAAGATCATTAATGTACTATTTAAAACATGAGCAGCAATGTTTTATCAACCGATGTAAAGACACAAGGCGAAGCCGAATATCTTTAGGTCTCATGATAAAACATGAACTGCGAATGTTCTAAATTGCTTCAAAAACGATCAATCTAGTAAGTTCATTGGCGAAGTAATATTAAAAAAAATCAGAGTTAAAGTTTTTGTAAATCAAGTTAAATTTCTATCACATATAAATTATGATTTTTCTTTGTGTTTTCCTCATGAATAATTAATGAGTTTTTTAATGTTATATATACATATAAAACTCACCCCATGGCGGCAATATATTTTTTATAACTAACCCCATGGCGGCAAAGCAAATGATAAAATCCACACATGGACAGTTTCCAATTAAAATACTCCCATACAAGTTGTGGAGTGTAATTACCATAATACAGACTAAAGCCAAATTGGTAAAAACTGTATAAGGACTCAATAAGTAGTATCGTTATTATGAACCTCTAATATACTTTAGTCATTTTTTACCCTATAGCCCCATTTCTATTTGTAATTGTCTGTCTTAGCATGTGGCAGGTGCAAGTGAAGGTTATATATCTCTAAGTTTCCTGCACCAATTTGGGTAATAAGTGAGCAAACAGTAAGGTCTAATAGCTCAAAATGTAAACCTTAGATTTTCTTGATGTTACTATCCCACAAGCCATGGCTGTATCGTTGATAAACTTTGCATTGTATTGAATTAAGTCTATCGATGTCAACCTTCCCATCTGGAATAAGCTTGTGTAAGAGGTTGCTAGTTCAAATTTTGAATTGAATAAAAACAATTTAAACAACTTTTTAATTTTACTCTGTAACTTAGAAGTAATTTTATAAAGCTAAGTGTGCAGGAGTGGGGACTCGTGACATCATCAAAATGACAGTTAATGAGGTTAAGAATTAATCCAAGATGGCAGACAGCTCATTGCTTTCAGTCAAAATATTTCAAGAGTTATGCTCGATACGAAAACATTTTATCATATACCTGGATGACAAAATTCTGCATACATGCACCTGCACTTAATACAGTTTGCATCGAACTTTTAAGGCTTTCCACTTAAATACCACTCAATTCAGCGTAAGAAATTATACTTACAGATGTCAAATGTATTACTAAACAACAGTTTTCTAGCGATTTATGGCCATTGAAAGAAAAGCGAAATTGTATTGTTGACAAATCGCTCAAAATTAACTAAAAATGCAGTACGTTTAAAGAAGTGGATGGAGGAAACGCCGGCAGTTTTATTTGTAGGGCACCGCATTTTAGGTACTGTGTCTGGTTTTCGTGTTTATTCCACTTCTTCGTATTTTCACATGAAGTCGCAGATGCAGACACTGACTCCAATTGATACACCATTATCGATATTCAAATATAAATTCTGTATATATACAACTTAGCCTTAGGTACATAAATAAATTGCACATACAATATCAATACTACATAACCCCATCGTACAATAGAGATGTATAGTTGTATCCGCAACTATACAATAGAGATACTACATAGAGATGCATAAAACGTGCGGATAAAATATCAATACGACATAACCCCATAGGAATGTCAGCTTTATTTTAATTAAAGGACAATGGCAACAAAAAATTTTATTGGCTATTTTAATCTACTGGCATGAATAGAGCTTAGGCATTATATTTTTTTGATCACAAAAAAGCGAATTTAGTAGTTATTTGACAATACTTTACCTTCAATTTTTGATTGCGTCCGCCATCTTGAATTGATACAAAAAAATTATGTTTTGATCATGTGATCGCCATGACGCCGGGGTCGGCAAGTTTCGTATAAATACGTTTTTGCTGAGATTTGTATAGGCTATAGCTTTCTATAAAGTTGTATTAAAGCAACAAAGAAATAGATGAACACACAGAAATATTTGATCGATTAATGGATGAAATTCATGAAAATCAATTGAGCGAAGTTCTGCCGTATCAGTTTGAACCAAAACCAGATCAAAATTCGAACTGTAGCGAATATTTTACTGACTCCGAAAGCCAATCTTCCTCCAATGAAGACATTGGAATGAAAGCCTTTGAAGCTGCAAACGCTTGGCGCTTGGACTCGTTAAAATGGTGCCACTGTGGCAATTGTGCTGTACATAACAAGGTGATTGAAAATTTCTGTTGTAAGGAGAAGTCATTAGAATACGACGAATATGATTCGCTGTTGTCACAAGCCGAAGAGGCAGGACATCAGTGTCTCACATGCCTGCCGGAGTTTGCTGAAAATATGCTATCACAAACAGTTTTGAAGATTGACGTATGTAGATACCTAGAAGAAAATTGGCCGCTTGGTGATGAAGATATTGAAAGAACTCATAAACTTTACCACCTCGTAGCATATCAAAGATGTTCCCGTTGGATATTCCAAATTTTGGGAAAGAAGAGACGAAGACCGTTTTCGTCTTGTATATACGCCAAAATACGACAACAATTTGCCTCACCGGATGGTCTGTATTACACATTTTAAATATGCTAATAATAATAATAAGTAAAAAGATATTTATATGGATTATATGCATGACATATGTTATTAATATTTTGTTACTCTACACGAGGCGTGTAGACTGTAGATATTGATATGTTCACGAGGAGTTTTTACACTTTGTCTTGCTACATGTACACACAGAACTGCAAAGTTCATTACTGGTTTTGCAAATACATTTTTTCGTCGTGCATTTCCCTTTACAGGAGAACGAATTCTTTTTCTCTGTACCCATCAGTGATGCAGCAGGTAAAGCCGGTTTGCTAAAGCAAGTACGTATGGCAGCAACGACATCTTCCTTCGCTGGCTTTTGGCTTCCTTGTAGATATTTCTCCACCAAAGAACATGGCTCTATTGGCAATATTTTCTTCGCGTGTTTTCTCACTTTCTTTAGGGTGTTGTACTCGCATCTCAATTTAATCACCTCGTCAAGGATCAGTTTCACATATCCTAAAAACATAATTATACACAGCATGGAATCTTTATGATAACATCTATTTATCTTTCATTGTTCTCGTGTATACAGTATACTTAGGTTATCCAGTGACAAGAAATAAAAGATGCTTCAAAGTTTTAAATAGCACTATCATATAGATTAAGTCCTACCAATAACTTAATGTATAAATCACGAATTGTGTTTTATCATTGTGTTTCTTAAAATTGTTGAAAGAAACAGTAGTTTGCTGTTGTTAATATAAAATCGAATTTACAATACGAAAGTAAGAAAATTCGAGACGTATAGCTACGATATGTAACGTATTTGTGTAAGGACTATGAAGTTGCATGAGTGAAATGTACAACTTTCCAAGCTCTATTTATAGAATTACTCATTTTCAGAATCGGGTATAAACAGCGCTAAAGGCGAGACGTCTCTCCCGGTAAGAGGTCATAACAACAAGCCTCGTACACTGTGTACAGAAGAACGTAATTCATGCTCTTGAATCACAAAAACGAAGTTACAAAACATATTAGAGAATAAAAATTTAGGATATAACCATGCAAAGTTTTGTTTGCTCTAACAACGAAAGTTTCCCCACAGTCCACTGGAAAAAGTAAAGATATTTTTATATTAACACTTCAGATTGTAAAAAACACAAACGAAATGTGTGGAATTTTGTCTTAAATAAATTAATTGGATATCGTTTTAATTTTTGGGGGTAGATACAGTTCAACATAAAATTTTATGTCTGTGACTGAGTACAAATTACATGTATAAACATAGTAAAGTACATACGAGGTTATATTTCGTGTATCTTACCATAAGTTGGGGGTTTCCTTCAGGGACTTTGCCACTGCTTTTTCCCCTTGAAAAGCTTTAGGATACGTCACTGCCCACCTTAATGCGCCGTCTTTTGTTTTCGCCTGCTTTCGTGTGTCATTTTCGTTATAATGCAAGTTGGAGCAAAATAATCTATAAAATATTTCCCAATATTCAATTGTGTTGAAACATTATTGAACTCCTTGTACTTTACATAACTATTAACTATATACTGTAAACATCATATGCATTCTTTGTATATTATATGTTTTTATGTATGCAACTACAGAATATTTTACTAATCGAGCTGTCAAGGAATGGTATGGGAAGTAAGTATTCTTGCAAGCGAACAAGTTGTCCAGTGCGTGTTTCGCCTCTAATCCTGATGTTTGATGAAAGCTTGATAATTTTCTAATGGCGGCAATGAGACGCGGTCGTGTCACAATTTCTACAAGTTTCTTGTGAGCAGCAGATCCTGGCAAAATAACCATACAACAATATTTACAGTATTAAACGTCATGTAAAATTTTACAACGTTGTATATCACGTACGTACATGGTCTTAGACAATACATGTAGAATTTTTAAACCTTTCTTTAGCCACTATATGTGTACACTCGGTAAATAATTTGTTCTTTTCGTGAGTATGTATGTTGACTATATGATTAGTAATAATCTCCCACTTCTCTTGCTTCTCATCAGGAGATGTACTCGAACTTGCGACCCAGTACATATGATTGACTATTGACTGTCAATGAAAAAAAAAACAAATAAATGCTATGTGCCTATAAATATATCTATGGAGATGGGTTATATACGAGTTCTTTTTTATTTATTACCCCAATCCATGGTTTCAATGAAGAAAACTTCTTAAGTTTAGCAGCTTTTGTCAATCTTTTTTTTCCACCTAAAATGTAGAGTATAAAAATTGCCGTTACTGTAAAGGGGATGATGTATGATTTCATTGTCTAATTGTAACATTATTGACCATGACACAGTACCCTTGGCAACATTCCAGACATCGTAAGTGTGTTCAATTTGAGGATTTTCGTTCTCCATGTAAGGCAGAGACCTGCATGTGTCGATCTGTCACAAGTTTGCCTATCTCTACGTCATTTTTCTCTAGGAATGAAATCTGTCTTTTCAAGGACTCTAGTTCCATAGCATTTGAGTTCTTAACTTCAGTTGACTAGATAAAGAAACGTTTATGTATCCATTTATAATGCAGAAATTGTAGACATATACTATACTTAGCCTTTTATAGGCCTGTTCAAACATCGCGCTTCTCATCTGCTGAACGTATTAGAAACAAATGAGGCACTTCAGCTGAATAGAGCTGATTATCTATTGTTTTTAATGTGTTCGGCACATGAGAAGGCAAGACTTTTGAAACAGGCCTTAGTTATAGTATTTTAATTATGATCAAAACTGACCTTTATAACTTGGGTATCAAGGACAATTTTTCTTTCCAAGTCCAACGTGCTGCCGGACCCTAAAAGTCCACAATGGCCCAGGCTATCGACCCTCATATCAGAAGCAATTGACACTTTCTTTCCGTCATCCTTGATGTTAGCTAGATTGGATTTTTGTTCTCTGTCCCAAACGTGAAACACAGCTGGAATGACATATGATTTGAGAATGTTAGACAATCCTCTTTTCTTGATATTGATTATTTTCAATGCATCGAACATTCGAATTACTTTAGCAGACTCCAGGCCTGTGCTCAGGATTCCTGCAGCAAAAAGCAAGTGGAAAGCCGGCAAACGGTTAACCTGTTGACCATGTGAAATTATGGGAGGTTGTATTTGAACAGGATACATGAATGTTACAGGTGGAGCCAATTTGACGTTCTAGCGAAACTGTACATGCCTCCCCACATTTCAAGCAATTTCTAAATGCATTTATAATTGCCTCTTCAAAAATAACAATTTTTATCTGTTTGGACGCTGGTTTGTCTTTTGATAAACGATAGTTTATACTGGTATTTTCCTGTTCTAAATCGTCTTCCGATTCAGAGTTCGCTTCGCCTTCGGAGTCGCTTGACTCTGTGAGTGAAGTAAAGTCCTCATCTGAACTGTTTTTGACAAATTCATCCAAAATAGTATCACTTGTAGTAATGCAGTCGTTCTTCTCACTCTGAGATCCCTGAATATCATCATCCGGTGGCGGGATTTCTGTTGGTATAGGCATAGCTGTTGTTTGTTCGTCGTCGCTCTGCGCTTGGAACGATACGACCTCGCCCTCGGTTTGCACTTCTTTGTCATACTTAAGCGATGCACTTTTTTCAAAGAGAGAACAATTTGTATTTACTTGTAAATGCGTTTGCGTTGGGAAAGTACGAGTTTCTGTTTTTTCCGTTTGTGTCTTTCTCGATCGATTCCAAATAATGACAGTATTCGTACTCTTTTCGGCAGTGTTTGGTCTATTATTGTCTTCTGGTGTATTACTTGATTCCACGTCGGTTTCATCGGTGAAATGTTCAAGTTCACTGGACAATGAACATGCAGCACAATCTGGTTTTTCGTAGTCTTTTACTAGATCGTTGACACACTTTAAAAAATAGCGAAATTTGATTTTATTAGGCGTTTTTGCAAACCATGTGCCTTGATTACATGAAATAAACAAATAATGTCCAAATTAATAATTACCTTTCTTCGGGGTCTTTCCTCTGTGGTCTTTCTTTGTTTTGTCTCAGCTGTTTCCATCAGAGGTTTGTTCAGGGTAGGAACAGCATCTTTTCTTAATAGCACTAAAGTCTGATCTTCACAGCCGATTGATTTGAGAAATTTTGGGGAGTGTGCCGGGTCGTATGCGTCATCATCGAAATGAAGAGAGCATATCTTGGTATTTGCCGTTGGTTTGAACGCTTTGCGCTTGCAAAACTCAATCCAAATTTTCCTCCTATTCCGTGTTTTGCTACTGCTTAGACCAGGAAAGGAAAAGAAATTCTTTATTTAAATTCTTTTTGCTGTGGCTATTGCACCCGTAAACTGGGCAGTACATTTTCCAAAATAAGTATAATTAGACCTTTAATTCACCCCACACCTGACGTCACAAAATTTATTTCTACATAAATTAGCATACGGGCAAATTTGCAAGATGGCGGACGGAATATTAAATTTAATGTAAAGTATTGTCCAATAACTCCTAAATTTGCTTTTTTGAGATAAAAAACATAATTCCTCAATTCCATTTATGCCAATAGAGTAAAATAGCGAATAAAAATTTTTGTTGCCATTGTCCTTTAATAACACAGTTTACCAATGTACTATGTATAACAATATAAATTATTAAATGAGAACTTCAACAGTTACATAGTGCTTGATTAAGTAAGTTGTCTTGCCGCAAGATGTGAATCATGAATGAATATAATCTTAAGCATCTTTAGCAATTAATTGTGCTTACCTAAAATAGAGAGTACTGCTCTTTATTTTAATAGCTAGGAAATATCATCTCACACGCATATGGCTGCATATGGAATTATTAGAGACCTTATATAGGACGGAAACACGATAATGTCTAAATTATTCATATATTAAATTGCCGTCATGTTGCCATCCTAAATTGTAAGGTCTCTAATATCCAAGATGTAGGACGGCAAAGCGACGACCACGGCCAAAACAAATTCATTTGCATCAATCGTTATGAATTTAAAACAGCTTGACAAGATAAAAACAGAGGCTTTCTATTGAGTAGAATTCCACATTTAGGCCCACAATAGTACTGAATCATGATTTTTTTCTGTGTTGGTGTAATATACTCAGGTGCATATGATGCTTGTCAAAAGATGTGAATCATGAATGAATACAATCTCAAGTGTCTTAACTGACACCGAAAAAAATCATGACTATTAATTACATTGATATCGAAGGAACTAGATTCTGTTCCGAAATATCACATACTCCAACCGACCAGACCGTGTAGCTCAGTTGGCAGAGCGTTGGGCTAGTATTCCAAAGGTCGTAGGTTCGAATCCCACCGTGGTCAGGCATATTTTTCAAGCTTGCCTGGTGTGGATATACACTCAGAGTAACATCACAAGCATCGTATTCACCTGAATACATTACACCAACACAGAAAAATCATGATTATTAGATTACATTGATATTGAAAGAACTAGATTCTGTTCCGAAATATCACATACTCGAACCGGCCAGACCACATAGCTCAGTTGGCAGAGCATTGGGCTAGTATTCCAAAGGTCGTAGGTTCAAATCCCACCATTGTCAGGCATATTTTTCAAGCATGCCCGGTGTGGATATACACTCAGAGTAACATCACAAGAATCATAGTACTGAACCAATTTGCTGGGTGTCCACTTCTTACGTACTAAAATGCAAACGTTGTACACAGGACGTAAAAGCTCTGCTTTACCGATCTTAAAGTCCCTAATATTGTTCATATTAGAAGACCCTAATATTCTTCATATTAGACCTTGGCGCATAATACCTTTGCTCTTCTAGCGCAATCCAACTTAAATGATCAAACAGAAGTAAGGGAGATATCTTATTCTGATTCGTCAACCACCATGACCACCAAATATTTGCTTCAGCCAATAGCAGTAGACCTTGCAAACAGTGCGTTCTGTCTGATCAAATGAGCTTTTGTGCATTCTAATTGCAGGGGTGGAAAAAAATTTTATTTTCTGGGACCGCAACAAATAGTGGGAAAATTTTCTGTGAGTTGTCGACACAAATCCTGTATAATTTAAATTCATTAAAAGAGGGCTAAATAAGATTTTAGAATTATTAAATGACCATAGAATTATTAAATGACCACTATTAATGGTCATTAAATGACCATAGAATTATTAAATGACCACTATTAGTGGTCATTTGAATTATTAAATGACCACTTGCAAAGAGGGCTAAATAAGATTTTAGAATTATTAAATGACCATAGTACCCATATAAAACCTGTGGCTATGGAATGGCTATGTGGTGCATATATCATTATATGCAGTGCTTCTATCATTATATGCAGTGCTTATATCACTATATGTGGCCCTTCTACCCATTCTATGCTTATATCATTATATGTGGTGCTTATATCATTATATGTGGTGCTTATACCATTATATATGGTGCTTACTTTGTTGTGTAGTGCTTTGTTCGTTGTATGGTGCTTTGTTCATTGTGTGGTGCTTAGTTTGTTGTGTGGTGCTTTGTTCGTTGTGTGGTGCTTTGTTTGTTATGTGGTGCTTAGTTTGTTGTGTGGTGCTTTGTTCGTTGTGTGGTGCTTTGTTCGTTGTGTGGTGCTTTGTTCGTTGTGTGGTGCTTTGTTCGTTGTGTGGTGCTTTGTTTGTTGTGTGGTGCTTTGTTCGTTGTGTGGTGCTTTGTTCGTTGTGTGGTGCTTTGTTCGTTGTGTGGTGCTTTGTTTGTTGTGTGGTGCTTTGTTCGTTGTGTGGTGATTTGTTCATTGTGTGGTGCTTTGTGAGTGAACAGTGAGACCAGCCAAACAATTGGATTTCCAAAACTGAAAGAATGTGGCAGCTTTGAGCTAATGAATTGTATAGCAAACTGCAGAAATCTAAGCACTCTTGATTGTGCATGGTTCGTAAAGAGCCTTAAAGCAAATATTGGTGGACAATCACATATATATTTGAGACCAATTCAAAAGGATCTGTGCACTGAATCATTTGACTGAAGAAACTCCTTGCGAAATCAAAGAAAAGTGCAACGTTTGTGGCCAAGATGTGTTGGTTCGGAATTTGCGCACACACGTGTATATGTGTTCCGAAGCAGAAATTATTCACAGCGGTTCTGAAAGTGAAGAAGGGTTGCCAAGTTCTTACCAAGTGTATCCCCTTCCTCGACCAGAAGAGTTCAAGCAGTGGCAGTGGTAATCCAGGAGCAAGTTCAACTGCAGATTCTGAGCAACCGGTTGAACTTTTGGAAATTCAAAACATTTGGACATACAAGATGTCTCAGAAGAATCTGTTGAAAGTCTCATTTCTGAAATCGTAGAATATTGTAGATCACAACAATTAGCTGATCTGGTCGAAATTCTGAGGTACTACCAAAGTAAATTTGTGCTTGGCAGAGCCCTTGATATTACTGATCCAGATAAAATCTGTGAAGGATTGACAAGTTATATTTTAGTTGACAGAGGAAATATTTTGGCCACTTCTTTTGATGAAATCTTAAACTTAAGGTTAACTCTGCAAGTTAATTTCTATGGAGAGGTAACAGTAAACAGTATATATAAACATTTGAATAATATTACTATGAATCTACAGAATATGTAGATTTATTATTTTTGTTATTTTATTATTATGCCCCCCCCCTCCATAAGCGACCTCTCTACTAAGCCCCTCCCCCAAATAAATTTGTAAGTTTCACCCCTCCATAAGCGACCTCTCTAATAAGTCCCTCCTCCAAAGAAATTTGTTGAGCTTCACCATACTTTTAAATGTATTGATATTCCTTACACCAATTTGAAAATTATATCATTTTAAGGGTAAATATTTAATAAGCCCCTTTAATAAGCAACTTCCCAATTCCCCTTCGATATATATCGGTATAGTTTTTACCTGAAGAGGCTGCTACAACAGCCTGTTTTATCCAAGAGGTATCATGATTCCACTAATGATTCCTCCACCAGATGATTCCTCTTGGATGAAACAGACTGTTGTTGGCAACTGTTTTAGGTAAAAACTCCATTACTGCTCTATCTTTAAATATTGAGCATTTTGTGAACCAACAGTCTTTCAATCATTTAGTGTGGAGACGACTATGGTGGGCCGCAGAAAGAATTCTTTCACCTGGTTCTTAATGCCATTAACAACAAGTACTTCGACAATGGTTTGAAAAAGATTATGAAGTTGTTGGTACCATCATGGGTTAGGTCTATAATAAGTGCTCTGAGTCACATATTAGTGGCTACATTTACATATAAATTATGATGCCAATCTTTGTGATTGTGTATTGACATGATGTGTGTTGTGATGTTGTAGAAATGTATGTGTTTATAACCACATGACATACAGTATTAATCAGGCACGGATTTCCTGGGTGCGTGCGGGGGGTGCCCCCCCAGAAATGCTTTGCACCCCCTCAGAGGCATTTGGCACCGCCCCCAAAAAGTTTTTGCACCCCCTCAAATTATACATATTTTGATTTGATATTTTCCTATTTGGTTATTCTTATTACTAAATTTGTAAAATTACTAATATTATGGTCTCTGATGCTGCCATGCAGGCCTAGAAAACATGTTTTATTAAGCATTTTCCTTGGCCTTTCTGGACGTTGCCACCAGGCTCCATGGATTATGGATTATCAAAATTAGGAATTATTCAGGTTATCATATTATGCATATTTTTAGGCATAGTTCATATAATAGCCAGCTAGATTCACAGTTCATATTACATATTAGCCAGCTGAGGATGAACTTTAGCTTTATTTCATCGAGATATATTTTCACAACAAAATATTCATTTTTTCTGGGGACAAAACAAGTACATTCACACAATTTAGAGATCATTCTAGCCCTAACCGACTGGGGGTTTAACCTTATTAGTGAGTTGAAGTTACTCCCGCTGCTGATACGAGTCGCAAACTAAGGGTATGTGCTATTTTTAGACTGTTGTAATCCCAGTGAATTCTATTGTGCTGCCTCATTTTTTTACAACCTCCCTAAACAATGGATGGTTTGATACTGTTTGCATCTAGTACTTGTTATTGCATTTAGATTGTAGAGCAGCTACCTACTATGAAAAACCTATTCCATCACAAGGAAGAAGTGTTAACAGTGAAGAGAGTAATCAATATCTTCAAACCGACATTCAGTGAAGAAGGGTCAAATAATCATATGCTGGAGAAATCTGTGTATGCAGTTTTTTTGAAATACATTCGAGAAGTTGCAAGTAAGATTATTCTGACAAATTATCTAATTATATGCATGTGTGCTTTGCAATACCCCCACTAAAAACAACAAAGAAAGAAAAACAACAATCATGAACATGGTCAGTTTTTATTTTTTTAATTTTAGGGGGTAGGAGAGGCAGATTGTCGCTTGCAAATATATTAGAGTTTGGTACTTGTGCTGACCCAGGAGCCTATGCTTGGTTTTTGTTTGCAGCAGACACTGAAATTTTTTGAAGTTACCACTACCTTCATCCCAACTGCCAATACATGTACCAATTGTATTAACCTCCCACGACCACCCGTAAATATACCACTTCCTGGTTCTGAGGAATTGTTTAATCTTTTTGACTACGCTTTCATGAACGCATATTTTGGAAATTTGTAGGTTCTTAATATTCTTTTATATATTGAATCATAAACAGGTTGAATGAACAAAGGACATCTGCTGTTTGGGTTTTGTTACGAAACTTTAATTCTATACCCTGTATAGTTAGTTAATTATTGTTGGTTTTATTAAAGAAAACATGTTATTTTGCGTTGTGGATTATTGGTGAATATACAACGTAAATCGAGAATCTTACATGAATATGCAAAAATATGGCATTTCAAATATCGAGTAGGATTTGTAAAGGGAATAAATGGGAGAGTTTGGACAAAGTGAGAACTCATATTTCCAATTCATTTATGGTAATGTCAAAGTGATTGTAATACCAGATAATGTCAACTCAAATTTTGGTTGAACGGTAGTATTGAGAGCATCTTCATTTGTATTAGATTGAGATGTGAAAACAGAAGTTGCAGAAAAATTCAGTTACAGATTAATTTTAAAAATTTATAGTTTAAACTAACTGTACAACAAGAAGCATTCATTCATTCCCAAAAGTCATTTGATTGCTACCAAAAAATCTGTATAATATCTACACAACAATTGACATATTTTTTGCAACTGCCTTATTCAACTATTATTTGAATAATGCTGAATTATATCAATAGCTCTTAAATATAAATCAATGCCATGGTTAACTGATGGGCTTAGATCTGGAATGTCACTTACTAGCTGAGATAGACAATTTTCACTCAACTTTTCTGTTTCAAACAAAATTCCTTCTATGCCATAGTTAGCTACTTCATCTTCGGTGGCTGTTTCGGAAAGGCCAACAGGATTTTGCATTTGGCTTGACAGCCACAAACGCAGAGGGCTTGTTCTTGTCGTGTGCATTTTATGATTTGCCCATGCTGTCATCCATAATTCCAACTTTTTATTGATTCTTGGTAGAAATACATGGTGTAAAGCTGCGATACAGATCGGGTTAAGTGGGTCCACAACACCCTCATCCTCGAGAAAATTAAATAGTTCATAATAATATGACAGTACAGCAGTAAACACATCTCGCCACAAACACTCTATTCGCTGATTGTGGGTGCTCTTTCCGGTTATCATACTGCATCGGTCAGCTCCTCTTTTCTCCATCATGTAGTCAGCAATGAGCACGTTTTCCAACCCTTATCCAAACGGACTCTGCTCGGAAGACCAAACTTGTTTACAGCTCCAGTGAAGTATTGAAGCAATGTTGTAGCTTTATTATTGTTAGAACAAGACAGTGCAACAGGTAATCGGCTAAATCCATCAATGGCCCCAAAAACAACCATGTGCCAATGAATCATCTTGTGATTTGTATTGACATGCCATAAATGATTTGCTCCTTTAACATTATAGACATGCCGATGCAAACCACCCCTCGACCTGCAAAGAATTCCAGCTTCGTCAACTCTATGCAGGCTTTTGCGAAGGCGAAATCTTTGAACTATAACACCTTTACCATGTAAGAGTTGGCTTATCATATTCTCAACACACTTAGGAAAATCCTTAGTCAACTGTCCAACTAGTTTGTCTAGTGCATGATCACGTATTGTTGAAAATGTGTGCTTTCTCAAACCGTATGAAGCCATACGAGACAGACAATAATAAAGATATCTCCTTAATAGAAAACCCATCCAGCAAAAGTTCCTCAGTTACATTTTTGGGTAAGTCATATTTTGGTGCCCCAGCCTCATGGTATATCTTGGTTGGAGGTTGGCATCCGTAATTTACACATTCATTTCTCAACAACACCATCTCATTCCTGCATCTTACACCCAAACATTGTAAGTCATGTGAAGACAGTATTCCCATAATATTTGGTGTTATTTTTTCTGGAATAAAATTTTCCACAAGGTAACCCATATTCAATTTCTTCAAGATATTTGATATATCAGAGTCTGTCGCCATTTTTTATTCGCTCATTTGGCGTGATACACCGATACTTCATGTATGAAGCGTTGAATGACGACCTAAGCACCACCCACCGAACAAAGTACCACACAGCAAACAAAGTACCACACAACAAACAAAGCACCACACAACGGACAAAGCACCACACAATGAACAAAGCACCACACAACGAACTAAGGGACCACTCATTATTTATTGTACAGGGGGGTTGAGGAGAAACTGGGGGGCCTTTAAATTTTTTAAAACCTGAAAGGGGGGGCTTTGAAAAAAAAACAGAGAGATGAAAGAAGGGGAGCTTCGAAAATATTTACCAGTTTGAAAAAACATTAGTAGTTTTAAAAATGTATCACAAAACAACTTAACAAATAACAATGTTTATAGACCTTCAATATTCATAAATGGAAGCCAAATAAAAAGTCTCTTATACTCATGTAAATAGACAATCCCCATTATAGACTAATTTTAAAACTAGGTAAAGAGATGCAAATCAAGGCTGCATTTTGGTGAAAATAGTGGGGGAGGTGGAAAAAAATTTTAGGGGAGGTGCAGGGGTCTAGCTAACAACTCCCATGGAAAGTTAGGGCTTATTGTAGATCGAACAGTATGCTTATTAAGAGGCTGTCTCCGTAAGAACCGACCACTGATTTTTTTTTCGAAAATCAACCTTGCCTCTAACTTTTCTTATTTATTAGACTTAACAAGCATACTACAAAATCACATTCAGAATTTTTTGTCTCACGTTATTTCCCGAGATTTTTAAACTTTTGTTCCTTAGGGCTATAATTGGGATCTCGACGCTTTGGCTAACGTAAAAATACCACATCTGTATCCCTCAAATGCACAGACGCACGGCCCGCTTTCCAATTTTTATGTTTATAATGTGAACGTTAAGGTCTTTGCTCGAACATATCAAGCATCTACACTTTTCAAACCCTTTTAAAACGTCTTTTTACACGAGCGTGCTTCAAGGTACTTTTTCAACATGGGTTAGGTCCTCAAAATTACATGTTTTTACGAAAAAATTTTTTAAATACTAATTATAAATTATAATTCCATCAAAACAAAAATTGGGGGATTTTTTTCCAAACTATTTTAATCGACGCGTGAAATTTACAATTGTTTGGCGCTCACTGGAAATGACGCTGACAACCCATTCATTAAAAGTTCGCAGATAGTTTACAAATTCAACACATGCTAAAAGTTTTGAACATAAAAACACTGCTTGAGTTGCATAAATCTTATGTAGACCACCTGTATGTTTCAAGCAGCCGAAAACGTTGTTTAAACAGTCGCACCACGCAGGTAATAACGTAATGTAAACAAATGTGTCTATATAATTATTTGCATGTCGAGAAACCCCGCTGCGAGTGAAACATTGTGCATTATAACGCCAAAAAATGCTAAATAAGATCTTGCTAAAACATAAGTGAATCATATTGTAGTTATATACCACAAAGTTTATCAAATTAAGATAAAAAATCAATAAAAAATAAAAAATATTCGTTCGTCTATATTTAGGATACTCTGAGTACGAGATTGTAAACAAACAGTGACCCATTGCGTTATATACTAAACTTTAGTATCTAGACAAGAGGAAGGATATCTTTTACCGGCATAGCTAGAAAGAGCATAATAAAATTAGTATAATTGCAAAGTTTGGTCGCGAAATGTTGTAAAATATCGAAAATAAAGGCTTGCGAAGTTTGAAAAATTTGTCATAAAGGCTACATTACCGAAATCAGTAGAGTGTCTTTTCCGGAAGTTGAAAAGACAGTCAAAAGCCAGTAGAAACTTTCATGTTTTATGACGTCACGATGAAAGAATGTAGCGTGGAACTTGTAAGTTATTTTATTTATTAGTAACTCCCTGTAGTAACTTTGCATTTTTTCTCCCAGTGCCTTCCCACGAATAAAAGTTCTCCCTAGTGTGAGGCGGTTTCTACAAAAAAAACGAAAACCGACCAATTGAAATTAAGGAGGGTGGGGAACAATATGGATAGCAAATTTTGGAACCAGGGCAGTGGTACAATACAAAGCCAGCAAAGGGGCAAAGGGGGTAGAACAAGGTTGCCTGCAAAAGAGGCTACATTCTGCTATGAAAGTTTTTTCGTAAA